GCCGAGGACGCCGCCCCGCTCCCCCTGGTGCCAGTGTTTGAGGGGGTCGGCGAGGACGCCGCCCCTCTCCCCCTGATGCCAGCGTTCTTTTGCCTGTTTGGTCCGGGTTCCCCTTGTCAGTGTTGTGGTCCCTGTGGTTGTCTTGTTTTTTGGGGTTTTGTTTTTCTTTCTTCGTGCCCTCCTGCCTGGCCCCCTCCTTCCCTCCCTGCTTGGTTCGGTTTTGCTTTGTTTTGTGTTTGGCTGTCTGGGAGCCATCCTTGTGTGGGGGGGGGGGGCTGGGTACTGTCATGATTCGGTTCCGCTGCTTACTGTCCGGCTTTTATTTTGACGTTACTTCCTGTTTTTGTTTCACCTTAGTTTCTGTCTTTTTGCGTTCTTCATCACTCACATTGGTTTCACCTTAGTTTCGTTATTGTTTGCACCTCTATTTAGGCAACGTCCTCCCACCAGGACGCTACCAGATTGTTCTAGACCCCAGCTCTGACTTGCCAGCATTTTCTTCGGTTTTGGTATTTTGTGTTTCTGACCCGGACTGTTACCTTGGATTATTCTGTTCTGCCTTGCCCTCTTATTTCGGACTGCTTCAGTGTTATACCGACCGTGAGTTTTGTGTTTCCACCGTGTCTTGTGTGGTTTTTTGTTTACGTTAGTTCTCTTATTAAAGAGACGGGTTTTGTTCATTACTTCCTCGTCTGGCCATTTAATGAGTTCACCTAACACCTTTCGGCCGCATCGCGTGCCGTTTCTGACAACCTCAGGTTGGGGTTCAGGAACTCCATTACATGTTTACATCAATATGACATTAAATGTTTTAGTGCTTTGATGTGAGTAACAATGACGTAAATGATGATCAAAACTGCCAATAAAAAGTTAGATGGATAAAGCAAATTAGGCCATATAGACAGAAGCTACAGCTGGCTAGCATTCAGCGCTCTCTGGTTCGATTCAGGGTTGCATCAGGAAGGGCATCTGGTGTAAAACACATGCCAAATTTCAGCATGTTGCTGTGGCGACCCCTAATGGGAACAGCAGACAGTGACAGACAGACAGAAGCTACAGCTCTGCTCTTCAAGCTTTTATCCCCCTGCTCTACTTTCAACCAGTAAAAAAGTCAAGTACCTAAACAACTGATTATCCCTTATACTACATTGTATGGGGACACACACTGAAACCACAATTAGGAATATGATACAAATTTTATTAGGTTTCCACAACTCAACACAGCTGAAAAATATGAATACATTAGACAATGCTAAACTCAGGAGCTTATAAATTGTTTCAAAAGGTGCAGTAGCTGAGTCATTCTTTGTTATTTCCTTGTATATCTGTCACTTAAACATTTGTAAATGACTCATATTTACTAGTTTATTCTGGTATGATCTGTTTTACATTGTTATATTTATTATTCCTCTCATGTATATTTGGTTTGATGATTTTCTTGTTGCTAAGTCTCTTTGTTAGGTTATTCTATATGGTTTTCTAATGTCTAGTTGTACATTAAGAGGCATGCATTTACCCATTCACTTATCTTTGTATATTTCTTATATGTTTGCATTTCTTATGTGCACCCACAGAGCTTTCCTGCTTATATTGAGGTTAATACTAGTCTATCACTACAGTATGTTAACCTTTTTCATTGCTGTGTTTCTCTGTGTGAAAGCTGTTTTACAGTGTCAGCTCACTCAACTCAAGCTTGTACTGAATACAGACAAAACAAACCATGTTATTTTCACTGCTGACACCTCTGGGGGAGAAAATATACAGTATATAACTTGTTATAGAAATCTCAATGTGCAGCTTGATGAACGTCTCTCTTTTAAAGCAACACACTGACAATTTTGTGAAGAAACTAGAACTGAAGTTAGGGTTTTATTTCAGGCTGCTACCTTCGTCTTACCAGTTCTTGACTACACAATGTCTTCATAGGTTATTCTCTGTTTAACAGTGCATTAGGATGTGTCACCAAATAAAGACCATTAACCTGCCGCTGTACTCTGTACTCCAGAGTTGGCTTGTCGTATCTCTCTATGCACCATTTTGTCACTGGTATATTTTCATTTATAAAAACATTCTAGACAGACTTATTTCAGATTCATCTTCCAGTGTTAATGTGGATCACAGGACATATCTGCTGTCTGTCCCTTAGTGTACACACTGAACTGTGTTTTCTGCTGCAAATACTTGGAATGGTTTGCAGAGGGAAATAAAATAATTTGACATCACAAATTAAATTTAAGGGCATGATGAATGATTGCTTTACAACTTGTCTCCGTCTTTAGCACACTGACACCCTTTATACATTGCTGCCTGGTTTTTGAATACATATCATTTGTGCATTTCGTGTAGTATTGTCCTGTATGAAACTTGCATTGCTGCTGTGTTGGCCAGGTCTCCCTTGAAAAAGAGGTTGCCATTCTAAATGGGATTTTAATAAAGGTTAAAAAAAAATGACAAAGATAATTTTGGGTCTTAGATATATATGAGCACTATTGTTAGATATTGTATAATGAATGCTGTAAAATGTGATCCACTGTAACTGTCTTTCTGACACCTCCAGGGTCTTTGGAGGTTTGATGGGATTTGTTTTAAGTTCTGAAGAAAACACACTGGCGCCAAAACATCATCTTGTGGAGCAAAGTCTGTGTTGTGTAACTGTCAAAATGCTCCTGCCTAATTTCAAGTATTCTTGCTTGTTCACTGCCTACAGCAAAAAAGGTACCCCTAGACATTGACATAGAGGTTACTGGAGTCACTTCACCTTTTTTTAATCTCATTTCCAAAAAAAAAAAAAAAGAGTCCAAGCAGAAGTCCTCACTAACAGTCAACTGAGTTTTTACCCCGGTGGGATGAGCCAACACCACCTTAACAAAATATAAAGGCAATACAAATAGCACAGGTTCTCCTGACTGTTTCTGTTTGTTACTGTGGCACAGGACAAATCCAGGACATTTGCTGATGTGAGAAATTACTCAGCACTATTTCAAAATGAAATTTACTTCAAAATGAGAATAAGAGAGTAACTTTGAGAGCCAGTTCAGAAATGTAAAATGCATGTAACATCCTGTCTGTAAAACACTTAGGATGAAGAGATGCAGACCATAAACAGGTACATAAAATTCACTGATCACACAGAAACAAGCTTGTGCTGCTTCACAGAACAGCCTCAGAGACAAAGATCCATGTTGCATAAGGGATCTTGGAAAAAACATCTTTGTGTACTTCCTTCGTAAAGAGGAAAAAAAAACAAGGTAAATGCAATTCAATGCAAGTCTTCAAAAAATACCCTTTAAAAAAATTATCTTTTAAGTGCCCTTTCAAGTGTTAAACTCATTTTTTGTTTGTGTACTTCCTTTGTAAGGAAAAAAAAAAGCAAGGCAAATGTAATTTAATGCGTCTTCAAAAAAATACCCTTTAAAAAAATTAATATTTTAAGTGCCCTTTCAAGTGTTAAACTCGTTTTTTTGTTACACACATTTATTTAGCAACCAAACTAAAGAAAAATAACTTGGTACCTTTAAAGGCAACTCAGATAAAGCCAAGGTAGAGTTTTATCTCACTCACTAACACTGTAAGTGTGCCAAGAGTAGTGTTTTGGTTACAAAAAGTCCTATGGATACTTCATCTTGGCATACTTTATCTCTGCAATCATTTGTGAGAGAATCATTTCTTGCAACAACCTCCTAATATCAATATCTAAGTAAGGAAATACAAACTTTGCAAGAGAAATCTTAAGGAGAAAAACTTTATATGCAGCTAGGCCGTCTGGAGCATCTTCGTTCTGTCTTCCCATCAGTCTGTTTATAAATATGTAAGCCTGTCTAACTTGTAACAAACTACGAGTCTCCCTTGGATGAAGAAAATGTGTTATTGACCGTGGTTGGGCTGTGCGTGTTTCTATGTTATTAGCAATGAGATTATTATTATCTGCTACTAGCCAGCCAACCTTTTTTTCATCAGGCCTACTAAAAATGAGCTCTACTTGTGGAAAATAAATTGTCTTCGCTCGTAATTTTATACAAAATAGACAAAACAGGGCTGGGTCTGCTGTGTTCAAACCCCTCGGTGTCAGGTCCTTTAGTCTGAGTCTCTGTAACGGGTCCTCTCCGGTGATGTTTGCCCATCAGATCTTATTCCGGACGTTCAAAGCCACCGAGTTGCCGTACAGCAGCCGGTCCCGCTCCCGCACCTCCTCCTGCAGTTTGGCCTCGGCCACCCGCAGCTGGCGGATGGTTGCCTTCATCTCCTTCATCTTCACCTCCATCAAGGCGATGATGTCCCGCTGCTCGTTCAGTTTCCGCAGCAGCTCAGCGGACGTGGTGCCGGTGGTCAGCGAGTATGAGTGGTCCAGCGGGCTGCTGGTCACACTCACGTATTGCACGGCCGACTGGTTCACTGTGGTTTCGGCCGATGAGTCTTCGGGGTTCAGCTCATCTGCGTTGCCGATCGGCGCGGTGAAACAAGTCCCCTCTGTCTGGGCGGGCAGTCGCGCCGTGCCCAGATACTCCCCGTTCTGGCCTATCTGAACCACGGTGATGCTGTCGTCGCTCGCCTCGCCACCAGCACTGGCCTCGGCTCCCTCTGCCGTGTTGCCCAGTACACTGGTGAGGACAATCCCGGAGGTCGCTGCAGCGCCGGGGGCAGGAGCCGCCGCGGACACTTTCCTGCCTCTGCCACGCCGACTCCTTCGCTCGTTCACCCCCCGCAGCGGGAAGAGCGACGGTACTCGGATGGTGTAGGTCTTCCTCCCACCGGCGAAATGCACGCTGCAGACTCGATGTCCTGTGGGGGGCTGGAAGGTGCTGAAGCAGCCGCTGACCCCGGCCCGGGAGATGTTCCTCAGCCACAGCTCCCTGAGCGCGGTGTCCTTTGGAAATGTGTAGAAGCGCAGGTCCCGATCCCGGTGCGAGTTGTTATAGCAGCCAGGGACACAGCAGGTGAACCCAGGCATGTTTACTTCAACGCTGAAGATAAAAATACAATGTTTGGAGGAAGTTTGCGGTTTTTTATTGTTGTTTCTTTATTCTGTGCGCTGTTATCACGCTCAGCGGCCTGCAAGCGGAACTACACGTCCCACAACGCTAACGACTTCCTGTTAATTTTTCCACCAAAAGTGAGCCACCTTTCCTCGTACGACGACTGAATCCACCTAAATCTATCCGGACCCAAAGCATACGGTGTTTGTACTTATATTGAATCCGAGACTGATTTTCTTTTAAACAATTTCGACCGTAATTGTTTTGTTTTGCTGTTCGCGCTGTTATCATGAAAACCATGCTCCACAGAGAACTAAAACTCCCATGAGCCCTTGCGCTTCCTAGCCAACTTCCGTCAGTATTGTAGCGCCCCTGCTGCTCAGAGTGTAGTACCACACGCCTGAGCTCAGTGAAGGAAACGGGGCACTGCAATCTTTTTATTTAGTATAAGCTGTGGTGGAGAAAGCGTTCAGATCTTTTACGTAAGTAAAAGTACTCCGTGCTGGAAAAAGTACTCAGATAGCTACTTAAGTAAAAGTAGAAACACCAGAGTGCAAATACTCTGTTACAAGCAGAAGTCTGTATTCAAAATTTTACTTATCAGTAAAAGTACAAAAATATTAGCAGGCAATTATAGCCTACTTGAAGTAAAAAAATAAATAAATACAAGTACTCATTATACAGAATGGAACATTTGACTGTGACTATTATATGGCTAATAGATTACTGAACTGTAATTACTGAATTGTGTACATCACATAATGTTGCAGCCAAAGTGCGCTCATTTTGACTAGATTGTCTTTACTTATAATTTGAATTACTGCTGGGTATCTTGTAAATTCCCAATCAGGGATCAGCAAAGTATTTTATTTTATTAATCTGATTCTGAAAAGTAACTAGTAGGGCTTACTAAAGTTATCAAATATCTGTCTTTAAAATGTAGTGAAGTATGAAGTAGCAAAAAATAAAAATACTGAAATACAGACCAAATACTTCAAAATTGTACTTAAGTACAGCATATAGCTACTTAGTGTAAAATACACTATTACAAGTAAAAGTCCTGTATTGTAATTTTTTAAGTAAAAATATGTAGGCTCAGCACAATCATCAAAATATACTTTAAGTAGAAAAAAAACCTTTGTCGAATAGTGTGAATGACAGTATTAAGCTTATTAGTCATGTATTAATGTGTTTACTGGTAGAGGTGCTAATTTATAAAGGTTATGTTATTTATCTGTGTCAAGCCTCATGCCTGCCCCATCCCATGTGAGATTACAAGACTACAAAACATGCATCTTACACATACAAAGTCAAAAAGAAAAGTAAAGTTAGAACAATATAATTAATTATCTATTTTTTCATATAAGATATCCAATCCAATAAAGTGTTCCCAGAAAAGAGCTGCTGCATATCAGTCTGATCATGTGCATCATCCATGTTCACAAAATCATATTTGTTTTATCTTACTAAAGAATATAGGACTGTTGTTGTATTATATGGATTAATGTCCTGATAACTTTCTCAATTACCTGATTTGATTGTTTGGTTTGTAAAAGCTGCAAAATCACGGACACCACCACAGAGCCTGTTTTGTCCAGCCAGTAGTCTAAACCTAAATAAGTACTTGTGAAATGGAACCAGGAAATGTTTGGCATTTTGCTTTAAACTGACAAGTAATGGGTATCTTTTCTGTAGCAGTGTGGAAGTAAATGAAGCCTTGAAAACCTACAGATGTCCCAACTTATGTTGATTACTTAAATTCTATCTGTAAACAAGCAGTGCTGGAAAAGACTGTGTTACTACTACAGCCTTTAAAGCATTATTTGGCAAACGACATTAACCAAAACAACTGACCTTTACAAGGTTTCATCCTATAACCTAGCAGGATAATAGCCCAAAACAAAAAAAAAGGCTGTGCAGAAGAAAATAACAAGACAGCCAACTTCAGAAGAAGAAACAACTGCAGCAGTTCTATCTACGCGAACAATACAATTTAAATTGTAGATAGAATTCTACAAGTGTGTTTGGCTGTTGAACTACAACAAAAACAACTGGAAAAATTTGGGTGTTCAAGATCATTTGACCGATAGTAACCTATACCCACAAGTTTATTGTACGTGTTTACTTGCGTATGGACGAAGTAGTGGCATATGTCTCCCTTCCTTAATTCTCCGTTGGTGACACATCTCCAACCTCTCTTAGTATCTCTGTTTCTTCCCACAGTGCAGCTGAAGTTACCATTAGCAACTGGGCAGTGCCCGGCTCAACGCCTATCAACGTCGCTGATGTCTGTGTAAATACGGCAGGTAGCTAATGTTATATTTTGCAGTCGAAACATTTTTGTACCACATTTTGACACCGTTAGACAGGTTAGCTATATATGTGAACTAGGTAAAGTGAAGTTTTGATATGCTTTGCGAATGTCTAGCTCGTTGGCTAGCTGAACAGGCTAGCTAGCTAGCCTTATCAATAACCTCACTGTTCAGCTAGCTTAGTGAATGTTAAGTTAGCGTTAGCTATCCGGTGTAGTGTCGAGATCTATTCCCCAGTCGGGATGTGTATCCCCTACCTGAACCCTACCCTTATCCTAATCATAACCACAGAGGGGGGCGCTACTAGAAAACAGTTTTAACAGGGGGAAACATCCTGACGAGGGAACAGATTTCGACACAACACTGGAGCATACAATGCTATGCCTATCTATGCTGAAATAGGGGGCCACTTAACGCAAATTTGTGTTATTGTAAAAATCTCAATAACGACACTTTCGATTGGCCTTGTTACGAGCAACATAGCACGCACGACTAGATTACTTTAAAGAGGTGTATGAGTGACTTTCAGCCTGGTAAATCTATGTTTGATCCGAATATTTGAGTCCTAAGGTAATGCAGTATGAAGAGGAAAGAGAGGTTATTTTTCTCCAGAGGTTACATAGGTAATGCAGGTGCACAGTCACACACTCACTTTTATCAGTATGTTGTACAGACATGTCTGCGGCGAGAATAATGAGGCACGTCAGCTCTTTTCAGCCACTGGCATTTACATTAACATTACTGGTGACTGAAATCTTCACAGTTACACGTCCGTAACAGTTTAGGATTAGGACATTAAGAGGTGGAGAGGCGAGAGGGCCTCAGGTTTAACTTCCTGAGTTCAATAACATTTGGTTCAGGATGAATGTTATATGGTAAGTTATTTGTACATTCAGCTGTTCTGTGAGAATGTTTTTATACAAAAATGCCACTTAAGGGAAAAGGACAGATTGCACTTGCTATAGAGGTGTTGCCTGTTGGTGGGTGTGGAACACTGGAAGAATGGCATGTTAACTATGTGGTAGGACATAATGTAAGTGGCTGTCAGAGATGGCTGATAAGAAAAACTGGTCTAAGGCTCCAATACACATATTTTCATGTTGCAATCTGTCGATCCGGGAGATAAATTGGTATTGTGCTATGAGGCAAGTTATTGTCTGTGGTTTTGGTAATTGTCACATTATGATATACATATAAATACAGTACATGCATATATTTAATTGTGTCCTGTCATGGTCATAAATCCTTCATTACAATAAAGTGAGTAAAGTGATTTTTTGAAGTAATTTCAGATGGGTACTTTATGGAAGCAGAAATAATTGTAACCCAGATTATTGTTATCAAGCTGTTAATAGGCTGTTCATTTATCTTTATAGATAACTTTCCCAGTAGTAAAGGCGCTGACAGACGAGTGGATCATAGGCTCTTGAGATGTTAGGCTGGCCATGGTTCACATAAGGTCACAGTGAGTGGCGCAGCCATGTTGCCTGGAGTTGGTGTGTTTGGCACCGGGAGCACGGCCCGAGTGCTGGTCCCATTGTTGAAGGCTGAAGGCTTTGAGGTTCATGCTCTCTGGGGGCAAAGTGAAGAGGAAGCATGCTGCTTGGCAAAGGAGCTCGGCATCCCATTTCACACCAGTCGATCCGATGATGTCCTGCTGCACCCAGATGTCGACCTTGTTTGCATCTATATCCCGCCCTCAATGACAAGGCAGATTGCTGTCAAAGCACTGGGTAAGAGGTCACACACACACTTTTACTAAAGTGCTGGCTTTTTTCCTTACACCAAGCTACTCTGTACAAATACCCTTGATATATTTAAAGTGTATTTACTTGCACTTCTAAACTTAACATTTACCTGCATTCACTCCACCACAAGCCATGAAACATATAGCACTGGTGCAAAAAAAAGAGAATATTGGTGGCTATTCATGGAAAAACTGCAATTTTCTTTGTTTTACCAAACAAATTTTGGGATTATGTGAATGATGATGCTCTGGTTTAAAAATGTGCAGGTCTTACGTTCCTGTTCAGCATCTGATTTACACAAACTGACCTGACCAGCAGGGTGTGGCAGGTTGGCTCTAGAACAGACTGGAAATGTTTCACTGTGGTGATAGTACTTCACAAAAGATGTATGCACTGAAGATGGCTGGATTCTACTGTAACATATTTCTTCCTGTAAATGTAATTAATGGTGATGATAGCCATGATGACAGAAAATGTAGTAACTTGAGGGGATAAAAAACAAAAACTTAAATATTCCACATCTTACATCTCTTAGCAGCAAACTAACACAAAAATGATCAACACTCGGTCATCTCAGAGTAGAGTCAATCTTTAAAGTTAATTTACTGAATCTGATGGAATTCCTGAGTGTTGACTGCAGCTTCCTGTCTTAGTTGCAACTTCCTGAGTGTGACCACGCCAAAGGATTTATCCATGGCACTAATTCCATTGGGTACTTAAGGCCACCGATATCTATATTTAAAAACTACACACAGCCCTTGCTATCACATCTGGTCACAGGAGAATTTTGACTGTTTATTCATACCAAAACTCAGGAACCGGACAGTTATGCCATCTATGGCTATCAGCTCCTCGATGTGCCTGAGCTCTGAGACTTCAAGTCTACCCTGCAGTCTCAAATCAGATTAATAAAGACTCATTTGCCATGCTAATAGGTAGACAAATGCAGTTTGTGGTGTTAGCTAAAACAAATGTAGTTTAATACAACAGGCCTGCAATAAACCCTACCTTTTTATTAAAACTCTCTTACAGAGTTGTTGAATGACATGATTATATGGATGTCAAATGTGTTATACAGAAAGCTGTTTCTGAATTGTTTTACTCTCATTTCAATAAATGGGGGAAACAACTGAGTGTACATCAAGTATTAATTGTGTGTCAAACTTTGTACCCTTAAAGTAGTAATTAACATATGATCACCACTTTTACCGGCAACATAAGAATATTTCAAAGAAGGCAATTAACTGTTTAACAAACAGAAAATCATATAAGGGTTTATGTGGGTGATTATTTCTTTGAAATTTAGGACTCATTGTCTTTAACTCAAAGACAATTGAACTCAGTCTTATCTGAATATTATTAACCCCTATCTTTCTTTTTTTCTCTGCAGGTATAGGTAAGAATGTTGTGTGTGAGAAAGCTGCAACCACTGTGGATTTATTCAAGATGGTGACTGCAGCCAGATACTACCCCCAGCTGCTCAGCATCATGGGTAATACCCTGCGCTTCTTGCCAGCTTTTGTTGCAATGCACCAACTACTGGTGGAGGGATATGTTGGCCAAATGCAGGTGTGTGATGTCCGGGTCTATGGCCCGAGCCTCCTGGACCAGTCGTATGGCTGGACTTGTGAGGCGCTGATGGGAGGAGGGGGTCTGCACACTGTTGGTTCTGCCATCATTGACCTTTTAAGTTACCTGACTGATGCTCGAGCCTATCGCGTCCATGGCTTACTGCGGACCTTTGTGCAACAAAACGGTTTGATCCGAGGCATCCGCCACGTCACCAGCGATGATTTTTGTTTCTTCCAGATGTTGATGGGTGGACCTGGTTCTGGCTCTGGTGTGTGTTGCACTGTGACCCTGAACTTCAACATGCCAGGGTCATTTGTGCAAGAGGTGATGGTAGTTGGATCCACTGGGAGACTGGTTGCCAAGGGAACAGAACTATATGGCCAACGCAATGGGAGTAAAGGTGAGGAGCTGTTGTTAGATGACAGCGGGTGGGTTGGGCCAGAGGTGAGAGACATGCCCTTGCCTCACCTGCAGGGGCTGAGCTCCATGGTAAAGGCACTGAGACAGTCTTTCCAGGCTCACGAGGAGCGCAGGTCATGGGCGCGAGAACCTGTTGCCATGGCACCAACATTTGAGGATGGTCTGTATGTGCAGACGGTGGTCGAGGCGGTGAAGCGGTCCAGCTGCAGTGGAGAATGGGAGTGTGTTGAGATCATGAGTCAGGAGCCGGATCCTAACCTCAACCTGTGTGAGGCTCTGCAGAGAAATAAGAACTAGATATATTTACACCCAAGTGTAAACGTTACATATCTGACAAAACTGGGCTCTGAATGGTTTTCCTTTAATTCAGCTGCTTTGGTAGTTTACTTTACACATGACTACTTTGCATATTTACATTTTGCCTCATTTTGAACTGAATATTTTGACTGAGAGAACATAGCTGTTTTGTGGATGTTAAACTGCCACCATTGTGATTTGTTTGTACACTAAATGTGTCACAGCTCTATTATTCTGATTCTCACCAGAGACTATGGCAGAATTGAAATGTTTCACCATAGGGGCTCAACCTCTGTAAAAATCAGAATAATGGAGCAGTGCAGAGTTAATTTTTTTATTTTTAAGAGTTGAGATGTATATTAATAGTAAGTAAACTGTGATAGTTGACTGCATATATAGGATAACAGGGATTGAGTAAAATAAGCTATATACAGAGAACAGAATAATTTGTAGCATTGCCCCTCAAAATGCCTAAATCTTAATACTTAATTTTAAATCTATCACTCACACTAGAAATGACTGTTGCCATAGCAACAGCTTTCATGGTGGGGGAAGTCCAAGAACCCTTCAATCCACTGCTAGATCATCCATATCTACAGTAATTCCGGGGGATTTCATAAGATGTTGGGTTCCTGTTTTCCATTGTGAAAACCTGTCAACAATGATAAAGCATTTAACTACTGAAACTGACTGTGAAGAAGGAAACGTTTAAAAGCTGCCTGTCAAACTCACATGTAGGACAGGTTCCAGGTCAAGTAATATGTTAAAGCTTACATTAGAAGAAACAGAATTTTGAGATTAGTGACCTTCTTTCATTTAACTGTCAAAGTTTTAGACCCTAAGCCCAAGTTTAAAATGTGTAAAAAGTGTGTTTACATGTGTTAATTATTGAATTCATTACATGTTTTAACAGGATTTTGTTTCATACACTCTTTGCTTTTAAAGTTTACTTAAATCCAGAGAGTGGGGTCATCACCCCACCACCCCTTTATAAACCAGTCATCCTGAAACCTTACTTATCTTTTCACTGAGTAGAACCACTGGATTTGACATGCATGAGAGTATAAATATGTGCCATGCTAACCTGCTCAGACCAAGACACAGGAAGTGTTGGAGGGTTTATGGTTAAAGTCACTCACTGCATCTCAGTTCTGCTGAATGTCCTAATAATGAATGTCCTAATACCGAAGACAGAAGCAGTGCACTGGTTTGGATTGTTTGGTGCGTCTCTTTCTTACACCCACAGGATCTACAGACAAAGATACATACATGCTACATGCTTACCTCATGCCATCCCAACAGTGCTTTATTAAACATAACGCATTTGCCTGCAGGATGCTCCATAACTCACCACTTTTAAGATACATTCCTACTGAGTGTTCACCGCTGTCTCAGCTGTTTTTCTTTTGGGGTTTTTTTTTTTTTTTTTTTTGCACTAATAAAATGCTGCATATTTAATATGCAGTGTAACACTTGTGCCAGCCAGCTCACTGCAGAATGATTTTAACATTTATATGTATAAGGAAGACTTAATGTATTTATTTATGTCATGGTATAGAGGAAGTTTCCCATTGATTATTCTGTTCAAGTTGGTTTTCACCCTGTGAATTTCTGTTTAAAGCTGTAATTTTTATCTTGTTTAGCTTTAGTATTGTTTTAATTGATAATGCATTTTCGAGCACAGTATGTTGCATTTAAGTTGGAAAACTGTATTGTTCATCTGCATTTCCTTGACTAAATACAGTTGTATTCATTAACTGTGTTTTTCAGACTTTTTATTAATTCTGTAAATAATTCTTTAATTGCCAGATCATTATTTTGTATTGGAAATCACAGATAATAGGTGCTCAGTATCTTTTGATACGGTATGCAGTTCTTTATTGAGGTGAGCATTGAAGCAGTACTGCTCCCTTATTTATGTTTTATTCATTCATTCATTTTTAACATAATACCATATTTTGAAGAAAAGAATGTTGTAGCCCCTTATATAACACAGGGTGGCAGCAGTGCATTATGGGGCAGACTGCGGTGGGCTAGGCTAACTTAGCACTAGCTAAACTTATGAACATACCATGCAGTGGAGATCACACTCTTTGCCTATAGCTGGTTATAAACAAGGTGTGATTTACACCACAGTGATTATCTAATGCTGTATTTTGATAACAGAGCTAATGAGTGAGACGTCCTGTAAAAGAACTGTAGTTTGGGGCTTTTTTTAAACCCTTCTTTTGAAACTTGCATTAAAAGTCTCAGGAGCATCTGACAGAGAGAAGTGTGTGCTGAGGAGAGAGCAGGAGCTGAAAGAAGCTCTGAGGAGAGCACAGAAGAAAGGAGCTCAGGCTCTGGAACATCAGAGGGAGCTGCTGAGAAGCTGCGTGCAGTGGATGCCAGAGAGGCAGCTGCAGAGAGGGAGAAAATAGAGTCACTGAGGAAAGCACAGCAGGAGGAAGCCAAAGACCTGAGCTGACAGAAGAGCTAGAGAAGGAGAAGGCAGAGCTACGGGAAAAATGGGAAGAGTTTCAGCATGAAAGAGAGGAACTTCTTTTGTTTTCCAGAGGACCGTAAGCCTCCTGATTGTGGTACACCATGATAACAGAACACAGGATGTGGCTCTCTTCCACACTTATCACTGATTTGTCATCTTATATAAACAGTTTGGAACTAATTCAAACACACAAACATGTACAAAATGTAAACTCCTTTCATCAGATATATTTGCCAAACAGTCAGTGGACAGTTGACTTGGGTTGTTTTACAGCTGATGTCCTGACATCCAGCACAAACCTCTCCTGCTCCAACTCACCCTGTAGTGACTCACAAACATGAACATATAGGCAGAGATTGGCTGTAAAAATGTTTCTTGTGTCTCTTCGTGTCTCCAGCACATGATCAAACTTTCTTATGTGCTACCACAATAAAACATGTCACAAATAAGTGGTGTGACAATCTTATGAAACTTAATTGACACTGAGACTTAGGGTACTATTTTTGCACCAGATCACGTGGACTTTACGGGCTATAGGAAAATATGAAGGTGCAGGCCTATATGCATATTTTTAGTATTTTCTTCTGCCTCCTTCTTGAACTGCAGTGGAAGGACTGTAACAAAAGTGAGGACATTTGTACTAAAAACACTCGAACTTATTTATATACAGCCTACTTGAAAATTTGTGAACGTACATAAACATACAACGCATGCGCAAGAGCAGAGTCTTTGCTACCCAGAGTATAGCTTTTCAGGTAGTGCTATCTCCGATGGTAACGTGTGGGTCTATCTTACAGGTGGTTACGAAAAATATTAGGGTTACTGTTGAGGTCAAATTTATCCACAGACGAGGAGGCCGCGTGTTTTTACCGCAGCCCATGTTATCTTACGAATAACTGTTGCCTGACAGGCTAAATCCAGGGAGAATTGACTGCTGATACAGAGCCCAGTTCCGGTAGCGGAAGATGGCAGACAGTGGACAGTCGTCAGTGAAAAGATGCGAATCTGGCTCAGTGTCTTCTGTGAATATGGAGACCATCTCGGCATTGACGGAGCTAGAGGACCTGGAGAGAGTTTACCAGCAGCTCTGCGCGGAAGAGGTTCGTATAAAGAGCACTTTGTTCGTCTTTGTGTTAGCTGTCGTCTTCCACGT